ATTTAAATGCACTGAGTCGCCTATGAGATGTTACATTCATCGTCCCTAACCTTGTTTGCTATTTTTATATTTTGGGGTCACAACTTTGGGTTGTTCTAAGATCTGACACTTAGACCTGGTTTATAGAAACCGAAGTTAAAGTTAATTCGCGATTAACTTTTAATTGAGGTTCGTTGCTAGGCGACGTGCAGGTTTTAACCAATCACGAGCTCCCATTCCACATTTTAATCCAGTGTTAAATTAATCGAGGATTAAATATTTAACTCGCGCTTCTATAAACCGGCCCTAAATATATTAGTGAATTTTGATCAACTTGTCACTAATTTTTGTCTGCGAATTCGAAAACGTCCACCAATGTGGACTTCGGAAAATCCACACTTTTTCATTTCATTCATAGTTTCTTAGTGTTTTAACAATAAAGTAAATGCTGTTTTCAGGAAACATAAATGCTGCGAGACGAAATTTAATTCCAATTTTAAATCAACTGGATGATGATGAGTTAGTTTATGGTTACTTTCAGCACGATGGTGCTACTGCTCATACAACTCCTTGCGACTTGAACTGAAACCAGTGCTTAAAAAACCTTATTCAAGAACGCAATGAAATAATGTTTTCTAACAGCAAATCGTAAATTGCAAAATATGAGTAGATTTGATTCAGTTATTTGCATAATTTTCTATTCGAAACAAGAAAAATATTGAAGGTCATAAGGTTCCATTTTTAAAAATGGCTAAACAGTAAATTTCGTTAGAGGGCATGCCATTTGGTAATATCAGTTTTGTCTCGGTAAGTACTAGCCCCGCCCACCCGCCCATTATTTTCTTAGAGAGTAGGTGATCTGCCAAAATCAGTTTTATTTTAGCAAATGCTAGGCCCGCCCACCCGCCCTTTATTTTCTTAGAGAGTAGGTGATATGCCAAAATCAGTGTTATTTTGCTAAGTTCTAGTACCAACCACCCACCCTTTATTTTTTTGAAGGGTATATTATTTGGCAATAGCAGTCTTATCTTGGCTAGTACTTGCTGATTTTGGCATATGAAATAACCCCTAAGAAAACAAGGGGCGGGTGGGCGGGCCTAGTATTTCCTAGGATACTAGTGATTTTGGCAAATGATATTCACTCTAATGAAACAGAGGGTGGGTGGGCGGGGCTAGTACTTCCAAAGATACGAGTGATTTTGGCAAATGATAAATACACTCTAATGAAATAAAGGGCAGGTGGGCGGGGCAAGTACTTCCTATGATACGAGCGAATTTGGCAAATCACATACCCTCTAAGAAAATAAAGGGTGGGTAGGCGGTACTAGAACTTCCCTCGCTTCTGAAGTACAGTCCAACAAATTATACTCTGAAAAATTATAAAATTTGATTTTGCAGAATTTTACTTTTTGTGATAACTGCTATGAAGTAAAAACAATACAGAAGGTTCTAGTCACAGTGTAATAGAAAAAAATGATGGTTTCAGCTTCTTAAGAAAAGACAGTTGGAGCCCCGACAAGATTTAATATTCTTAAAAAAAGACACTTGAGGCCCCGGAGAAGGTTTCGCTTTCTTTAAAAAATGACAGTTGAGACCCCCGAGAAGGTTTCACATTATCAAAAAAAGACATTTGGCGCCCCCGAGAAGGTTTTACATAAAAAAAAAGGCATTTGGGGCTGTCGAGGAGGTTTTACATTGATAAAAAGACAGCTGGGAACCCCAAGAAGGTTTCACATTCTAAAAAAAAAAACATTTGGCGCCTCCGAGAAGGTTTTGCATTAAGAAAACCAACAGTTGGGACCCCCGAGAAGGTTTCACATTCTTAAAAAAAAAGACAGTTGGGACCCCCGAGAAGGTTTCACATTTTTAAAAAATAGACAGTTGGGACCCCCGAGAAGGTTTCACATTATCAAAAAAAGACATTTGGCGCCCCCGAGAAGGTTTTACATTAAAAAAAAGGCATTTGGGGCTGTCGAGAAGGCTTTACATTGATAAAAAGACAGCTGGGAACCCTAAGAAGGTTTCACATTCTAAAAAAAATAATTTGGCGCCTCCGAGAAGGTTTTACATTAAAAAAACAAACAGTTGGAACCCCCGAGAAGGTTTCGCCTTCTTTAAAAAATGACAATTGAGACACCCGAGAAGGTTTCACATTATCAAAAAAAGACATTTGGGGCCCCTGAGAAGGTTTTACATTAAAAAAAAGACATTTGGGGCTCTCGAGAAGGTTTTAAATTGATAAAAAAGACAGCTGGGAACCCCAAAAAGGTTTCACATTCAAAAAAAAAAAACATTTGGCGCCTCCGAGAAGGTTTTACATTAAAAAAACAAACAGTTGGGGTCACCGAGAAGGTTTCACATTATCAAAAAAAGACATTTGGCGCCCCTGAGAAGGTTTTACATGAAAAAAAAACATTTGGGGCTCTCGAGAAGGTTTTACATTGATAAAAAAGACTGTTGGGACTCCTGAGAAGGTTTCACATTTTTAAAAAGAGAATTGGGGGACCCCCGAGGTTTCCTATTCTTAAAAAAATACATTTGCGACCCCCGAGAAGGTTTTACATTAAAAAAAACAGTTGGGACCCCTGAGAAGGTTTCACATTAAAAAAAAAAGACATTTGGCGCCCCCGAGAAGGTTTTACATTTTTAAAAAAGACACTTGGAACCCCCGAGAAGGTCTTACATTTTTAAACAAAGGGGCATATTATCACCTTTTCGAGAAAGTGGGGTAATTTCTTCAATAAAAAATTTGTTATGGCGTCATAGACATAGATAATAAACCGAAAGAAAAAACCAGTAGAACACGACCGGGATGCCTTACGTTATGTTTTTCCAAAAATTTAGACGGGTAGACAAAAGGTCAAAGCGAATTCGTACCCCACACTTACAGGATTACGTTGTTATATACCAGTGAAATCCAATAAACATAGAATTCTTTGAAATGACGTCATCAAATTGTTGGTGGGGATAATTAACAAAATGTTGGTTACCATTTAACCATCGATATGATATTTCTAATATACATACAAAATTTGACAACAATCGGTGCAGCAATTTCGGAGATGAATAAAATGTAAATCAAACAGACACATAGAGGGACGGAAACGGGAGACTAGAGGTCATGAAACGTCGAGAAAATATAAACGTGGCCATTCGTGACTCTCGGGCAGTAAAAATCAATGTATGCAACACCCTTAAATGACTTGGAAGAGTTTCGGAACGGGATAACACACAAAATTAACGAAATTAATAACAATGCAGATGTTAAAATTGTTTAAGAATCCAAAATGTAAGATATGAGACCTTACAGAATGTTCCACTGAATTACGCAAATAATTTCACTCTAATATAAATACACTCACTAGAAATGTCCATAGCAACAGTTTGAATGCCACCAAAGTTAAAATGAATCGTTTTTGGTAATGTTTCCATGAAAATAATACAGAAAAAGTCAGTCGTACCATTCCAAAAAACAGAAGATCTACGAAAAGTAGTATTTGGAGGCAATTCGAGGTGTTCTGCAAGGAAAGAAATTAGAAACTTGTTCAGTTTGCATCCATATGGAACTATAACTACGAAAATGTCGTTTTTGATCCTTTCTCCGACAGTAGGAAACAGTTACAACGGCATCCAGAAAAAAGAAAACGGAGTTCAAGTACCCTGAGTAAAGACAACATTACAAAAATGGCAAAATTATGGAACTGAGATGAGCCAGAAGGTTTGCAGAAACGATTTTTTCGTAGCGTATTCTTTGGGCTGGCCTGGACAGGTGGCGAAGGTCTGCATTGTATCACGGATTATTTTAAACATGAGAAGACTATTAAGGGGGAGTTAACCCGATGAGTAGGTATAATCCCATGTTTGCTAAAACCGCACAACATAGGACGAAGAAATCTTCAGATAGTAAGTGGTTTTTAATAAACTCATGGACAAAAGAACAAAAATATAGCAACAGATCGTCTATTCCTAACCCCTAATCCGTTCTGGAAAAACGATCACTCTAAAAGCTGGTACAAGAACGTGCCACTTTATATAAATATAATTTCAAAATGGACCCAAAATTCGACCAGGCTTATTGGACTTGATATCAAGGCGAACAAAATCACGAAAGTGCGGTAAATCAAATATCTAAAGCTAGAGGATGATCAGGAACCTATGAAAATGACATGACATTCAAGCTCTTCTTCAATTGGCGCTATGTCCAACTCGATCCTTGCTAATTTTTGTAGTGAAGAGTCACTGGAACCCTTCCGGGGCTAATTATTTATACGTAAATTAACAGTCTATGAAGCTGCCACCTTCAAACTGGTAAATTTAAATGCACTGAGTCGCCTACGAGATGTCACACTCGTCGTCCCTAACCTTGTTTGCTATTTTTACATTTTGGGGTCACAACTTTGGGTTGTTTTAGGATCTGCCACTAGTGTCATTCTACTTTGACACTAAATTTAGTGAATTTTGATCAATTTGTCACTAATTTTTGTCTGCGAATTCGAAACCGTCCACCCTTTTGAACATATCCAGAGCCACTACAGGTAATTAGACAACACCAACACAGTTTTATCCACACATTTAGCGACCAAAGGGTCGCTTTTGACGTAAGAACATGGTTTAAGTCGTCTTCAAATACGAAAGACGACGAACACCGGAACCTTTTTAGTGCGGCCCCAGCACCTACATCGACCGAAAAAAGTATCGACAGCAACAACCACCACGGAACAGTTCGCAACACGTTCGCGTAGCAGGCGCTGAATCGAACAATAACAGTCAATAGTAGTGCGTCCCGCTGGCAATTACGTAGGGCACCGAAGGGCCCACCGGCGGATTCCCTGCCTCCACGTCAGCCGCTTATGAAACTCTTTAATAGAATGATTACTCCGTAAGCGAGAACTGTTGCCAAGCGGTTTACGGCCTTGTTTCGTTGCACCAGCAATTGCACTGGCAGCATCACCTTCGTTCGAACTTCACACAAATCACAAATCACGCACGTCACAGCACTGCCGCCGGCCAACGCCACTCACCTATTTTTCTCCAGTTCGTTGTGGGATGTCCTGCAACAAAGAAACGGCAATTAGGCAAGAATCACGTGGCGCGCCGGAGTCACTGTTCGCGCCGCAACCTCCCCAAAGACACCACCGTCCGTCGGTCGGACCCCTTAGCGCACTCACCTATTGCCCTGAGATTTCTTGTTCTTTGGCCTCTTCGAAGCGCTCCTGAGGTCGTCGGGGATCCGCACGGTCGACGCGTAACCATGCTCGGCTTCTGCAACAAAGTACAACAACGGCCGTCAAAAACAGCTGATGCGTCGAAAGCGGCGACGGCGGCCCGCGCTCCAGCCACTGACCTCTTTCTCGTCGCTCTATGAACTCTGCTGCTTGTAGAAGGACATTGAGGGCGCTCATATTAGTGAGAAGTTTGCTTGGAAATACAGACAAAGGTACCGTCCCGCGAGTCGCAACGATGCACGTCCCCACACGCACTGGAACACACTGACTGGCGATTTATCGTATCGATGTATCGTGTGGCGGGCAGCGAGTCGTCGGCGGCGGATGCGCGACGGCTTCTGCGCCGCCAGCGATTCATCGCGAACCACTCTGTCTCTGGGGCCAACAGCTGGTCGTGTTTACATTCGGGCGCTGCGCTGGGTGGCGGTCGCAGGAGATGCAGGAATCGCGAAAAATTAATTGGGGCAATGGGCAAGGAAGCGGACGTTGGGGCTGCTGCTAGACCCCGGAAAATGGGTTCGACGCACCGTTTTTGCAATTATGACGTTTCATTCGATGACATTTGTATACACAGCGTACTTGGATGTTAGAGCGGGATAATTATTAATTATCGCTTATGCAACCCAACATACGCGACGTGATAAACTAAGTTTATGTATACAGAGTCGCCAAAAAAGAACTTTTGGCGATTTTTTCAAATTGTATACTTCATTTGTTTTGGAGATGCAACATGGTAAAATAAATTGTCAAAATAAAAATACTAAAAATCAGAAAATCGTAGCTAGCCTTAACAATACTGTCACCTGTCATAATCCTTATTAGAGCTCTATAGAGCTTTCTGAAAGATTTAAATAAAAAATCACGTTATTGAAAAAGGATCAAATTAACATTTAAAAAATAATAATTTTACAACAAATGTTTTCAAATGAATTTGTTAGAATATTAGGAGGAATATCAGAATCACATTTAATATTCTTTCCTGGAGTTCTTCGATGCTTTGCTCGATTTTTTACATAACCCCACAGAAAAAAGTCAAGTGGGGTTAAATGCGGTGACCCAGCTGGCCACTCAACTGCTCCCCTTCGTTCTATCCACCTTGCAGGAAAAGTTTCGTCCGAATATTGAATTTTCAGTTACATATCTATGACGTTATCAAACTTACTTTCCTCTCTTTTTCAATTGATAAAATGGAAAGATTGTTTAGTCGGGCTTATGTCATTGTGGACTTTAAGCACGATTTTATCAGTTTCAGTTTTGAAATGCTTCTTTCACATGAAGCTACCGAAACAAATCGTTAAAAAAATCTTAGACAAATCTGTAACTATTCCATGAACATCTTTTTTTGATAACGTTAGCAGTGGGATTGATAAACTTACCGTTGCCAAGTTGCCGTTGATAGTAACTTTGACGTTCAACTTTTGCCGTATTTAAAGGGCTTGTAAAAGAAAAGTGGAGGATTTAAGTTGATTACTACAAAATTTTACCATTTTAGACTTGTTTTAAGTTTCTTGTTGTCAAAATAAGTCTACACATACTAAGAAAAAAAGGCAAAATGTAGCCCCGCCCACCCACCCTATCTCAATTGTGATGATTTTTTTTTATTCGTCGTGAGCCAACAAGGCGGAGCTTAACTGCAAAATCCTTATTTCTCTACGAGAAATTAAAAACATGTTTTTGTACATCGTGTTGTTCAAAGAATACTAGGTATATTAAGAAAAAAAATACCAAATATAAACCCCGCCCACCCACCCCATCTCAATTGTAATGATTTTTTTGATTTTCAGAAACTTAAAACACGTTTAAAATGTCTGTCTGTCTGTCCGTCTGTCTGCCGCTCAGATTTTTTTTTGTATATTTTTGCAGAGTGATTCTTCTGTAATTCTCTAGCTGTGCGACTGAGATGTCGTTGACACCCCTTGGTGCTTGGTACCCGGGGCAGACCGCTCCCACCGCCCCCCCCCCTTTACGCCGCCACTGAATATTACCATATTACCAATTTCGTTAAATCTGCGCAGTGTTTTTGAAACCGTCGACCTAGACTTGTTCTCGATTGGGATGAGTTTCATTAAAGAGTTTCATCACCTATCAGCATAGCCAATCATCATCAAGATTTCTATTTTAGTGTTTTATTGAAATATTTTTAAACCTGGATGTAGAAGTTTGCTTTTCAGTACACACTGACAAATTGATTCATTTTCAAAACTAAATACAATTTTCTATTTTAGAATTTATTGATAATAAATACTTAATTTATCCTTTTATTTGGCGTTTTAGTCAGGGGCGGCTTGTCCTGTGAGGCAGGTGAGGCAATGCCTCAGCAATGAATTTGTTCAAAATATTTTTTTTTCTGATATTTTAAAAATAAACGTGAAAAATTATTGGTATTCTTATCTTGGTAGATGGATATTAGTTGTTTCGAAGAATTCGGAAGAATCTAGACGAATCTGAAACGATATGAAAGGTGAAAAATTCTGAGAGTATCGAAAAAATCTGAAAGAATCTGAGAGAATTTAAGATTTTTTCAAATTCTTTCGAACTTTTCAGATTCTTTAAAAGGCACCACCAGAAATCCTCGAGATTCTTTAAAATTTTTTTAGTTCTGTTCAGATTGTTTCAGATCCTTACCAAATCCTTTCAGATTCCTGCAGACTCTTCCAGATTTTTCCAGGTTCTTTTAGATTTTGCTAGATTCTTCGAGATTTTGTCACATTCCCTGATTATTATTATTAAAATCCAGAGAATCGTAGACAGTCTGAGGGAATCTAACAGAATTTGAGAGATTCGTAAAGAAACTGAGGGAACCTCTGAGAGTCTGAGAGAATTTTGAAGAATTTTGAAGAATTTGGAAGAATCTGCAGGCATCTGAAGGGATCTGAAACGATCTTAGTAGAAGTGAAAAATTTGAAAGAATCTTGAGGATTCCTGACGGTTTTTGATAGAATCTAAACAAATTTGATTGGAAACAAACCGGAAGCATCGAAAAACATCCGGAATAATCAGAAAGAATAAAAAATCGAAAAAATCTGAAAGAGAGAATCAGAAAGAAAATGAAAGAATCTGAAGGCACTTGTTAGAATATGGAGGAATTTGAGGGTTTAAAACGACCTGAAAAGAATTCAAAAATTTGAAATGATGCGAAACAATTCCAAAGCCTCCAAAAGAATCTGGAGAATCTAAGGGAATCCAAGAAAATCTGAGGGAATATGAAACCAAGAAAGACTCATGAAATTTAGACGAATCTAGGTAAACCTGGCAGAATCTGAAAGAATTTGAGAGAATCAAAAAAAATGTAGCAATAACTGGAAGAATCTGGAACAGTCTGCAGGGATCTGAAAGGATTCAAAGCGATCTTGAAAAATTCTGAGGAAATTTGAGGGAATCTTCAGGCAGATTGAAAAAATCTGAAAGAATAGAAAAAAATCTGTAACAAAGTGTATTTTTTCTACAAACTTTCGCATTCATTTTTCAACATATTGAAACTAAAATTTATGGAAAACTTGATTAACAGAAATTACGGCAAATTTTTTCCGAAATTATTGATATTAAAATTAATCAAATGCGAATTAGAATTTGTGGCATGGAAAAATTACGCGTTTTTGACGTGCTTCATGTTTCAAAAATTCCATTTTTTCTGAAAAAATTTCAATGTCAACTAAAAACGCAAGCACACCAATATAATTTTTTTAACATTTAGATATTGGGGCATCATTTCGATTTTTTGAATTTTAGATTTTTCGATTTCTCGATTTCATGATTAATCGATTTTTCAATTGCTCAATTTTTCGACAATTCGATAGATATTTCGATTTTTTTATTTTTCCCATTCTTGATTCTTCGATTTTCCTTTTTCCGATTTTTTAAATTTTCGATTTTTCAATTTCTCGTTTTTCAACTTTTAATTTCTCAATTTTTCGATATTACAAAATACGGATTTTTCAGTTTTTTGATTTTTCAGTTCCTCGATTTCCCAATTTTGCGAATTTACAATTTTTTTATTCTTCAATTTTTCGATTTTTCAAATTTTAAACATTTCGCTTTCCTAATTTTTCAATTTCTCGATTTTTCAATTTCAATTTTTAGATTTCTCAGGCTCTGATTTTTCGATTTTTTAAATTCTAGATTTTTCGATTTCTCGATTTTTCAACTTTCGTTTTCTAAATTTTTGGGTTTTTCAATTTCTTCATTTTTTAATTTTTCAATTTCTCAATCTCACGATTAATCGATTTTTCAATTGGTCGATTTTTGCGACTTTTCGATATATCGATTTTTTGGTTTCCTCTTTTTCGATTTTCAATTTTTCAACTTTCGATTTCTCAATTTTTCGATATTACAACTTAAGGATTTTTCAGTATTTATATTCTTCGATTTCCCAATTTTGGAATTTTTCAATTTTCTTATTTTTCAAATGTTTAACTTTTGGCTTTTCTAACTTTTCACTTTCTCGATTTCACGATTAATCGGTTTTAATCTACTTTTTTTATTTTCCCAGCTCTCGGATTTCTTGATTTTTCAGTTTTTCGATTTCTCGTGTTTTCAACGTTTTATTTTGGAGATTTTTAAAATTTTTCGATTTTTCTGTTCATCGATTTATCAATTTTTTGATATTTCAGTTTTAGATTTTTAATACTTCGATTTTTTAAATTTTAAAGTTTTCGATTTCTCGATTTTTCAGTTCTTCGATTTTCTTATTAGTGCATTTTTCCAATTTTTGAAATACATATATATGTGATTTCGAATTTTCAGTTTTTTGGTTTTCGGTTTCGACTTTGGGATATTTCATTTTCTTGACTTATCGATTTTTCGGTCTTCCATGATTCGATTTCTTAATTTTTCGACTTTTCGGGTTTTCGGTTTTTTGATTTCCATTTTTTTTTGTTATACTAGTTGCTATAAAATTTATTTCTTATGTCATGCACCTGACCTAACTTCTCTCAAATAAACAAATTTTAAACATTTCGGTGAATATGCAAAAACCACAAAGTACATTCTTAAAATAATTGTATTTTTTTAAACAATAATAATATAATAAACAATAAAATAATAATAATAATGTTAATCTAATCAATGCATATCATTACTTGGTCTTAGTACCCGTAATGATAGAAGTCTTGCCTGAATGCCGGTCATTTCCGGGTCAGTGGTGGGTCTTAAAAATATTAAACTCCTTTTTTATCTACGTCCAAAATTTTAGAATTTTCCGACTTTTAGATTTTTCACTTTTTGGATATTCCAGATTAGGGATTTTTCAATATTTTAATTCTTCAGTTTTTCGGTTTTTCAATTTCGATTTCTTAATTTCCGATACTTCAATTTTCCGATTTTTCAAATTTTTCATTCTTGAATTTTTCGATTCAAT